TGAATCTACCGAACAACCGGCAGAAAAGCATGAATACAGCTTTTCTGCAGGCAAAATAAAGTCTTTTAAAAGGGGGCCATAGTCCAGAGGCAGCAGGCGAGCAACCAGGCTTCTCCAATGCAATGTGGCGAGATTGGTCTCGTCACATTATTTACTTCATGTTTTCTTTCATTGTTTATTTTGTTTACAATCTACAATCTGTGAGCATCCACTCCCTGCCCTCACTGCAATCTGTGCGCATCCACTCACTGCAATCTGTGAGCATCCACTCCCTGCCCTCATTGCAATCTGTGAGCATCCACTCCCTGCCCTCACTGCAATCTGTGAGCATCCACTCACTGCCCTCACTGCAATCTGTGAGCATCCACTCCCTGCCCTCATTGCAATCTGTGAGCATCCACTCCCTGCCCTCACTGCAATCTGTGAGCATCCACTCCCTGCCCTCACTGCAATCTGTGAGCATCCATTCCCTGCCCTCATTGCAATCTGTGAGCATCCACTCCCTGCCCTCACTGCAATCTGTGAGCATCCACTCCCTGCCCTCACGGCAATCTGTGAGCATCCACTCCCTGCCCTCACTGCAATATGTGAGCATCCACTCCCTGCCCTCACTGCAATCTGTGAGCATCCACTCCCTGCCCTGGCAATCTGTCAGCATCCATCCCTGCCCTCATTGCAATCTGTGAGCATCCACTCCCTGCCCTCACTGCAATCTGTGAGCATCCACTCCCTGCCCTCATTGCAATCTGTGAGCATCCACTCCCTGCCCTCACTGCAATCTGTGAGCATCCACTCCCTGCCCTCATTGCAATCTGTGAGCATCCACTCCCTGCCCTCATTGCAATCTGTGAGCATCCACTCCCTGCCCTCACTGCAATCTGTGAGCATCCACTCACTGCCCTCACTGCAATCTGTGAGCATCCACTCCCTGCCCTCATTGCAATCTGTGAGCATCCACTCCCTGCCCTCACTGCAATCTGTGCGCATCCACTCACTGCAATCTGTGAGCATCCACTCCCTGCCCTCATTGCAATCTGTGAGCATCCACTCCCTGCCCTCACTGCAATCTGTGAGCATCCATTCCCTGCCCTCACTGCAATCTGTGAGCATCCACTCCCTGCCCTCACTGCAATCTGTGAGCATCCACTCCCTGCCCTCACGGCAATCTGTGAGCATCCACTCCCTGCCCTCACTGCAATCTGTGAGCATCCACTCCCTGCCCTCATTGCAATCTGTGAGCATCCACTCCCTGCCCTCACTGCAATCTGTGAGCATCCACTCCCTGCCCTCACGGCAATCTGTGAGCATCCACTCCCTGCCCTCACTGCAATATGTGAGCATCCACTCCCTGCCCTCACTGCAATCTGTGAGCATCCACTCCCTGTCCTCACGGCAATCTGTGAGCATCCACTCCCTGCCCTCACTGCAATCTGTGAGCATCCACTCCCTGCCCTCACGGCAATCTGTCAGCATCCACTCCCTGCCCTCATTGCAATCTGTGAGCATCCACTCCCTGCCCTCACTGCAATCTGTGAGCATCCACTCCCTGCCCTCATTGCAATCTGTGAGCATCCACTCCCTGCCCTCACTGCAATCTGTGAGCATCCACTCCCTGCCCTCATTGCAATCTGTGAGCATCCACTTCCTGCCCTCATTGCAATCTGTGAGCATCCACTCCCTGCCCTCACTGCAATCTGTGAGCATCCACTCACTGCCCTCACTGCAATCTGTGAGCATCCACTCCCTGCCCTCATTGCAATCTGTGAGCATCCACTTCCTGCCCTCACTGCAATCTGTGAGCATCCACTCCCTGCCCTCACTGCAATCTGTGCGCATCCACTCCCTGCCCTCATTACAATCTGTGAGCATCCACTCCCTGCCCTCATTACAATCTGTGAGCATCCACTCCCTGCCCTCACTGCAATCTGTGAGTATCCACTCCCTGCCCTCATTACAATCTGTGAGCATCCACTCCCTGCCCTCACTGACTCACTGATATCTGGTGGGGGCATGGCTGGCAGGAGGGCGCATGTCCACAAATGTAGGGAAAGCGCTGGCGGTGGACTTCTCTCAATCCTCCTGACAATGGGTGACAGAGCTGTTCTGTTGGGTGACCAGCGGGACTGAGGATAAATCTGGTGTCACAGTTGCTTGTGACTTGGCAGGACTGTGAATTGTCTGTATGAATAGCTGATCTTTCTCTCGCAGGAAGTTAAATTCTGTATATATTTATTGGGTTAAAATCCCACAGCCTGGCATCGCATGTCCTATAAAAATCTGCAAGTTCCATATTCAACATCATGTAATTATATGTATTAAAACTGCTTTTTAAATTGCTTTAAATGTACATTTCACTTTAAGAGTAGTCCCTATACATGCCCAACCTACATACTTGGCACATCTCTCTCTGCCCATGTGGAAGCCAGGGGATGACTCTCTCACTCATCAACGATGGTAAAAGCTTAAACTGATCCACACTGACATTTACCCAGGGAAGCGTTCACACTGGCATTTACCAAGGGCACGGGTCAAGCTGGCATTCACCAAGGGCACGAGTCAAGCTGGAATTTACTAAGGGCAAAGGTCAAACTGACATTTAATCAGGGCAGTGGTCACACTGACATTTACCAAGGGCAAGGGTCAAGCTGGCATTTACCAAGGGCGTGGGTCAAGCTGGCATTTAATCAGGGCACGGGTCACACTGACATTTACCAAGGGCAAAGGTCAAACTGGCATATACCCAGGGCACGGGTCAAGTTGGATTTTTCCAAAAGTATGGGTCAGGCTAGCATTTACCAAAGGCATTGGTGAAACTGGCATTTACCAAGGGCACAGATATAACTGGCATTTACCAAGGGCATGGGTCAAAATGGTGTCAGTTTATGGTATGAGAATATGTTCCACCACTGCAAACGGTCAAATACCTTCTTCCATAAAATGAGCTTCAGAAAATGACAGCACTGGCTAACTTCATTACAAACCCAACTGGGAACACAACAGGAACAGATCATATTTTTACACAACTACACACCAACACCAACTTTTACTACACTCACATAGTAATCTCACACCAATAATAACTCGTATTACTACACAACTACACACTAACCACACACCAGTAACTTGATAATACTATCAAGTAAGAACACGTTTTATAACTACACACCAATATCTACTGCTATTATTACACAAACTACTCGGTAATGGCTCCCCATTACCATCGGGTATTATTACACAACCACACACTAATAACAGCTCATAACTACACAACCACACACCAATAACAGCTCAAACTACTACACAACCACACACCAATAACAGCTCATACTACTACACAACCACACACCAATAACAGCTCAAACTACTACACAACCACACACCAATAACAGCTCATACTACTACACAGCCACACACCAATAACAGCTCAAACTACTACACAACCACACACCAATAACAGCTCATACTACTACACAACCACACACCAATAACAGCTCATACTACTACACAACCACACACCAATAACAGCTCATACTACTACACAGTCACACACCAATAACAGCTCAAACTACTACACAACCACACACTAATAACAGCTCATACTATTACACAACCACACACCAATAACAGCTCAAACTACTACACAACCACACACCAATAACAGCTCATACTACTACACAGCCACACACCAATAACAGCTCATACTACTACACAACCACACACCAATAACAGCTCATACTACTACACAGCCACACACCAATAACAGCTCAAACTACACAACCACACACCAATACACAACCACACACCAATAACAGCTCATACTACTACACAACCACACACCAATAACAGCTCATACTACTACACAACCACACACCAATAACAGCTCATACTATTACACAGCCACACACCAATAACAGCTCATACTATTACACAACCACACACCAATAACAGCTCATACTATTACACAACCACACACCAATAACAGCTCATACTACTACACAACCACACACCAATAACAGCTCAAACTACTACACAACCACACACCAATAACAGCTCATACTACTACACAACCACACACCAATAACAGCTCATACTATTACACAACCACACACCAATAACAGCTCATACTACTACACAACCACACACCAATAACAGCTCATACTACTACACAACCACACACCAATAACAGCTCATACTATTACACAACCACACACCAATAACAGCTCATACTATACACAACCACACACCAATAACAGCTCATACTACTACACAGCCACACACCAATAACAGCTCAAACTACTACACAACCACACACCAATAACAGCTCATACTACTACACAACCACACACCAATAACAGCTCATACTATTACACAACCACACACCAATAACAGCTCATACTATTACACAACCACACACCAATAACAGCTCAAACTACTACACAACCACACACCAATAACAGCTCAAACTACTACACAACCACACACCAATAACAGCTCAAACTACTACACAACCACACACCAATAACAGATCATACTATTACACAACCACACACCAATAACAGCTCATACTACTACACAACCACACACCAATAACAGCTCATACTACTACACAACCACACACCAATAACAGCTCATACTACTACACAACCACACACCAATAACAGCTCATACTACTACACAACCACACACCAATAACAGCTCATACTACTAAACAACCACACACCAATAACAGCTCATATTACTACACAACCACACACCAATAACAGCTCATACTATTACACAACCACACACCAATAGCAGCTCATACTACTACACAACCACACACCAATAACAGCTCATACTACTACACAGCCACACACCAATAACAGCTCATACTACTACACAACCACACACCAATAACAGCTCATACTACTACACAGCTCAGCAACTACTTATCAATAGCTGCACAAACAATGCTACAAAATAACTACAAAAATATGTACCATACACAACCCACACAAGAGTAACTGCACAAGCACTGCTCCACCAATAACCTCACACCAATACACAACTGTGCAACCCCTACCTCCCAATAACTACACACCTACTGTTCCACCAATAACCTCACACCAATACACAACTCCCAATAACTACACACCTACTGCTACACCAATAACCTCACACCAATACACAACTGTGCAACCCCTACCTCCCAATAACTACACACCTACTGCTACACCAACAACCTCACACCATTACACAACTGTGCAACCCCTACCTCTCAATAACTACACACCTACTGTTCCACCAATAACCTCACACCAATACACAACTGTGCAACCCCTAGCTCCCAATAACTACACACCTACTGCTCCACCAATAACCTCACACCAATACACAACTGTGCAACCCCTAGCTCCCAATAACTACACACCTACTGCTACACCAATAACCTCACACCAATACACAACTGTGCAACCCCTAGCTCCCAATAACTACACACCTACTGCTACACCAATAACTTCACACCAATACACAACTGTGCAACCCCTTGCTCCCAATAACTACACACCTACTGCTACACCAGTAACCTTATACCAATACACAACTGTGCAACCCCTGCCACCCAATAACTACACACCTACTGCTCCACCAATAACCTCACACCAATACACTACTGTGCAACCCTTACCTCCCAATAACTACACACCTACTGCTACACCAATAACCTCACACCAATACACAACTGTGCAACCCCTACCTCCCAATAACTACACACCTACTGCTCCACCAATAACCTCACACCAATACACAACTGTGCAACCCCTAGCTCCCAATAACTACACACCTACTGCTACACCAATAACCCCACACCAATACACAACTGTGCAACCCCTAGCTCCCAATAACTACACACCTACTACTCCACCAATAACCTCACACCAATACACAACTGTGCAAATCTTACCTCCCTATAACTACACACCTACTGCTACACCAATAACCTCACATCAATACACAACTGTGCAACCCCTACCTCCCAATAACTACACACCTACTGCTACACCAATAACCTCACATCAATACACAACTGTGCAACCCCTAGCTCCCAATACTGTTACACCAACTTAAACAATAACCAATCACAAGAATTTACACACCTGTTACTACACAATAAATACACAAATACACTAATAATCACTGACTTACATATCAACCACATTATTGCTACACTGTAACAATATCACCTACAACTACACAATAACAACACAGTAACTCACAAACTATTAAACAGTTTGATTATACACAACCCACACAACTGCTGCAAACTAATAACTGCACAACAATCACATAACCACACAAACGACACACACAACAGCTACAACTACATATCAGCTACATAACTATACCATACCTACACAGCTACCACCCCAGCCTGATATGTAACAACAAAGGTAAGTAGCCAGGCTGCCTGATTAATCAGGAGTTGGCTGCTGGGTGTAATATGATCTTTATTGTTTCCTGTTACAAAGTAACATATGTTTGTGTAGAATCTGATAATTAATTAATGCACATAATCATCAACACCCAACTACCTGCGCAATGACAGGCAGATGGAAAATTCCATAGAGATTATCGATCTCCTGCTGAGTCCTGCCACATACATAATATTAACTTCCATAGAGATTATCGATCTCCTGCTGAGTCCTGCCACATACAGTATTAACTTCCATAGAGATTATCGATCTCCTGCTGAGTCCTGCCACATACAGTATTAACTTCCATAGAGATTATCGATCTCCTGCTGAGTCCTGCCACATACAGGATTAACTTCCATAGAGATTATCGATCTCCTGCTGAATCCTGCCACATACAGTATTAACTTCCATAGAGATTATCGATCTCCTGCTGAGTCCTGCCACATACAGTATTAACTTCCATAGAGATTATCGATCTCCTGCTGAATCCTACCACATACAGTATTAACTTCCATAGAGATTATCGATCTCCTGCTGAGTCCTGCCACATACAGTATTAACTTCCATAGAGATTATCGATCTCCTGCTGAGTCCTGCCACATACATAATATTAACTTCCATAGAGATTATCGATCTCCTGCTGAGTCCTGCCACATACAGTATTAACTTCAATAGAGATTATCGATCTCCTGCTGAGTCCTGCCACATACAGTATTAACTTCCATAGAGATTATCGATCTCCTGCTGAATCCTGCCACACACAGTATTAACTTCCATAGAGATTATCGATCTCCTGCTGAGTCCTGCCACATACAGTATTAATTTCCATAGAGATTATCGATCTCCTGCTGAATCCTGCCACATACAGTATTAACTTCCATAGAGATTATCGATCTCCTGCTGAGTCCTGCCACATACAGTATTAACTTCCATAGAGATTATCAATCTCCTGCTGAATCCTGCCACACACAGTATTAACTTCCATAGAGATTATCGATCTCCTGCTGAGTCCTGCCACATACAGTATTAACTTCCAAGTAGATTCTCGATCTCCTGCCCATAGGAGTTCTGTCTCATACACAATATTCATACATTTGCCTTCAATGACTGGTTTGTATAGTCAGAATGTGACCTTGAAGAATGTGGATCTTTCTGACCCCCCTCTAACCTTCGCTTATAAGAACAATTCCTGGAGGCAGCGTAATCTGATTAATAGAATAGCACTGCCACCTACTGGTGATATTGATAGAATGCAGTAAAAAGAAATTACTGCTATAACTGGGAAACTATATACACTGCTCAAAAAATAAAGGGAACACTTAAACAACACAATGTAACTCCAAGTCAATCACACTTCTGTGAAATCAAACTGTCCACTTAGGAAGCAACACTGAGTCACAATCAATTTCACATGCTGTTGTGCAAATGGGATAGACAACAGGTGGAAATTATAGGCAATTAGCAAGACACCCCCAATAAAGGAGTGGTTCTGCAGATGGTGACCACAGACCACTTCTCAGTTCCTATGCTTCCTGGCTGATGTTTTGGTCACTTTGAATGCTGGCGGTGCTTTCACTCTAGTGGTAGCATGAGACGGAGTCTACAACCCACACAAGTGGCTCAGGTAGTGCAGCTCATCCAGGATGGCACATCAATGCGAGCTGTGGCAAGGTTTGCTGTGTCTGTCAGCGTAGTGTCCGGAGCATGGAGGCGCTACCAGGAGACAGGCCAGTACATCAGGAGACGTGGAGGAGGCTGTAGGAGGGCAACAACCCAGCAGCAGGACCGCTACCTCCGCCTTTGTGCAAGGAGGATCAGGAGGAGCACTGCCAGAGCCCTGCAAAATGACCTCCAGCAGGCCACAAATGTGCATGTGTCTGCTTAAACGGTCAGAAACAGACTCCATGAGGGTGGTATGAGGGCCCGACGTCCACAGGTGGGGTTGTGCTTACAGCCCAACACCGTGCAGGACGTTTGGCATTTGCCAGAGAACACCAAAATTGGCAAATTCGCCACTGGCGCCCTATGCTTTTCACAGATGAAAGCAGGTTCTCACTGAGCACATGTGACAGACGTGAAAGAAAAAAGTGAACTTAGTGGATCGTACTACCACCAAAAGATCACTCAGTGGAGCGCTAAATATCAAATTCTTACCCCTATTGGAATAACGTATATATCACTTTAAGGGGCAGACAGCATAATAAAATCTACAACAAGAAAATACACATCATGGTGCAGTATGCTTGTAAGGTGTGAATGGAGTGGAAGAAGATGTATGTCCAACTCACATGGTAAAGAGCCTGGAGATTGGCTCAAATCACAACAGCTGAGGTATGTTTGGTAATACCAGACTTCTCCAGATATACAGCTCACAACATATGTGGATAAAAAAGGACAAAAATCCTAGTGCAAGTATGTTTAAAATAAACAAGTGGTCACATATAACAGTGCATGAATGTGCTCACCTGGAATAGAGCCAATTGTACTAGGCTCTATGTATAAGCGTGTGGTGCCTTTAAGGGAGGCACTACCCTTCTTTAGAAAATGCAGGAAGCAGTTGAAGATCCACTACCAGATGTATAAGGTAAAAGTAACAATTTATTAAAAAAAAAAAAAAAAACAATTAAGCAAAGTAAAACTGTATATACAGATACCAAAAAGTAAAAGTCTCTGGGGTGGTCTTCCTTGGAATTCCGAGACGCGTTTTCGCCGTGGGGCTTTCTGGAGACGCTGTGGAGAACGCTCTGCTGCCTGCAACATCCTCCAGCATGACCGGTTTGGCAGTGGGTCAGTAATGGTGTGGGGTGGCATTTCTTTTGGGGCCGCACAGCCCTCCATGTGCTCGCCAGAGGTAGCCTGACTGCCATTAGGTACCGAGAAGAGATCCTCAGACCCCTTGTGAGACCATATGCTGGTCCGGTTGGCCCTGGGTTCCTCCTAATGCAAGACAATGCTAGACCTCATGTGGCTGGAGTGTGTCAGCAGTTCCTGCAAGACGAAGGCATTGATGCTGTGGACTGGCCTGCCCGTTTCCCAGACCTGAATCCAATTGATCTGGGACATCATGTCTTGCTCCATGCACCAACGTCACATTGCTCCACAGACTGTCTAGGAGTTGGCAGATGCTTTAGTCCAGGTCTGGAAGGAGATCCCTCAGGAGACCATCTGCCACCTCATCAGGAGCATGGACAGGCGTTGTAGGGAGGTCATACAGGCACGTGGAGGCCACACACACACAGTGTGACTCCAAATCCAGACCTCCATGGGTTGAAAAATTTGATTTCCATTTTTTAATTCTTGTGTGATTTTGTTGTCAGCACATTCAACTATGTAAAGAACAAATAATTTCAGAAGAATATTTAATTCATTCAGATCTAGAATGTGTTATTTTTGTGTTCCCTTTATTTTTTTGAGCAGTGTTTATATAGTAGGAGACAGAGGTTATAATCCATAGTGGGAGAGAGAGATTAAATATAATCCATAGTGAGAGACAGGGATTAAATATAATCAATTGTGGGAGACAGAGGTTAATTATAATCTATAGTGGGAGACAGAGATTAAATATAATCCATAGTGGGAGAGAGAGATTAGAGAGATTAAATATAATCCATAGTGGGAGAGAGAGATTAGAGAGATTAAATATAATCCATAGTGGGAGACAGATTAAATATAATCCATAGTGGGAGACAGGGATTAAATATAATCCATAGTGGGAGAGAGGGATTAAATATAATCCATAGTGGGAGAGAGGAATTAAATATAATCCATAGTGGGAGAGTGGGAGAGAGGGATTAAATATAATCCATAGTGGGAGAGAGGAATTAAATATAATCCATAGTGGGATACAGATTAAATATAATCCACAGTGGGAGAGAGGGATTAAATATAATCCATAGTGGGAGAGAGGAATTAAATATAATCCATAGTGGGATACAGATTAAATATAATCCACAGTGGGAGAGAGAGATTAAATATAATCCATAGTGGGAGACAGATTAAATATAATCCATAGTGGTAGACAGGGATTAAATATAATCCATAGTGGGAGAGAGGAATTAAATATAATCCAGAGTGGGAGAGATGAATTAAATATAATCCATAGTGGGAGAGAGAGATTAAATATAATCCATAGTGGGAGAGAGGGATTAAATATAATCCATAGTGGGAGACAGAGATTGAATGTAATAAAGAGTGTGAAACTAGAATTAAAAAAGAAGTAAAACATGAACATGTGAATTTACCCAGGAAAATAAAACAATGAATAAAATACATGTATTAATTAATGTAAATAGCAACCCCCAATAAACCAAATCATATTCCAAGTAAAACACACAGACTAATTATAGCATTTATTAAACGCAACCCCCTCCCCCTCCCAAACATAGCCCCCATGCCTGATTTTTAATGATTTTAACTCTGTGCATTTGTTTTAAAATTATGTTATATTTCCAACAATACTAGTATTTTACCACGCCGGTACTGTAACACTGTGTGTGCAGGGCTCTGTTCTGCAGAGCTTGCAATCTACACTGTATTAAGCAGAGATCATAATAATAATAACGTTACATTACCAGTAAGAAAATCGTTTGCCTGTGGACTAGAATAGTCTTGAAGAATAAGTACGTTAATGTTTTAATGAGGCTAAGATGAGCA